CTCCCTCCAGTCCTCTGCACGGTGCCATATGCCATGTGTGGCAGTCAGGTCTGGCATACTGGAGCTCATGAATATCTGCTGAAGCTCAACGAAGAATCAGAATCGGAATGCTTCCTGAATGGGTCGCAGGAGAGTCCCCTAAGGAGTGCTTAGGTTTGTTGGGGTTGGGGGAGGTGGGTTAAGAAAGGGAAGTCAAGATTGGAGGCACTGTTTTTTTTTTCTTTTTTCTTTTTTGGTTTATGTGTGTGCGCATGGGGGTGGGGAGCCGCTTGGTGCCGGACGCCCCCACCCGCAGAGACTGGGCTATAAATAGCACAGCAGAGCTCCGCCCCCACCCCCCCTCTTCTCTCCTCCGGAGCCGGCGCTGTGCCCGGGGCGCACCGGGAGGAGGGACCAGGATCCAGCGCTGGGGCGCAGATACTGACACCAAGGGAATCCGGGTGCCCCCCACGCCATGTGGGCCCCCAGGTACCCGGCTCCTCCACCCCGGAGGTCCCCATGGCCCGGGCCTCAATCCTGGCCAGGCAAAGATTATGCGGACATTCAGGTATCTATTTGGGGGTACAGCCTGGGAGGGGGAAGAACAAGGAGCGACGGGGAACATAACAGGGGCAAAAGAATCCCTAATTCTTCCTCCACCCCTTTAGGTCCCAATTGCAAGCTGCTTCCTTCCCCCCACTCAATTTTTGGGGATGTGGCAATCTAAAAGAGGTTAGGAATAGAAACATGGGTATGACTGTACGGGTGCATGTGTGTGGGTGGGTGGCGTTCAGTATCCTAGAGAGGGGGATTCCAAGTGTGGATAAGAAAAGGGGGATGTTGGAAAGGTCTGATAAGCCGTGGGGTGCGAATGGGGGGGTGCGAATATCTCTGCGCGTGCATGTACGTATTTGCACGAGCCCTCATCCTTCAGTGCGGATGCACCCTTCCCACCTCTTCTGGCATGCGCTGGGGGGGGGGGCTCAAAGGCAGGAGTCAAGAGTAAGGACCGCATTGGAGATCATATTAATCACTCCCTTCATACACCAGGCATCTTCATCAGTGCCTCAGTTTCCCTGCCGAACCTATCAATAAGCTCTCTCTATCCTCTTTTTTACAGGGCTAGGCTTTACCACCAAGACCTCAGGCCTCTCCCAACCACCACCCCCACACTCCTAGCCATCTTCGGCAGGTCCCATTCCCGGCTCCATCGGTGCTTTCGCCCGAGCCGCAGCTATGCTACACACCGAGGGCCACGCTCTTCTTCGGGCGGTGGGTCAGGGTAAGCTTCGCTTGGCCCGTTTGCTTCTGGAGGGAGGAGCCTACGTGAATGAGGGTGATGCCCAGGGGGAAACTGCGCTAATGGCGGCCTGCAGGGCCCGCTACGATGACCCTCAGAACAAGGCACGCATGGTACGCTACCTCCTGGAGCAAGGCGCGGACCCCAACATCGCAGACCGTTTAGGACGCACCGCGCTCATGCACGCTTGCGCCGGGGGTGGGGGAGCCGCAGTGGCCTCTCTGCTTCTTGCCCACGGCGCAGACCCCTCAGTCCGAGATCACGCTGGCGCTTCGGCGCTTGTCCACGCCCTGGACCGCGGGGACCGTGAGACCCTTGCCACACTGCTGGACGCCTGCAAGGCCAAGGGCACGGAGGTCATCATCATAACCACGGATACCTCGCCCTCGGGCACCAAGAAGACCAGGCAGTATCTCAATTCCCCACCGTCCCCGGGGGTAGAGGATCCTGCACCCGCTCCTCCTAGTCCAGGGGTCTGCACGTCGCCTTCTGAAGTCCAGCTGCAAACTGCAGGAGGAGGACGGAGCTTGTTATCCCCTCGCGCCCAGGAAGAAGAGGAGAAAAGAGACATATTTGAATTTCCTGTTCCAAAGCCCCCTGATGACCCTTCCCCTTCCGAGCCTCTCCCCAAGCCGCCTCGACATCCTCCAAAACCACTCAAAAGGCTCAACTCTGAGCCCTGGGGCCTTGTGGCTCCTCCTCAACCGGTCCCTCCTGCCGAAGGGAGGCCGGGGATGGAGCGCCTGGCCGCTGAATTTAACGGCCTGACCTTAACCGGTAGACCGCGTCTTTCCCGGCGTCACAGCACCGAAGGCCCGGAGGACCCGCCCCCATGGGCGGAGAAAGTGACAGGCGGGGGTCCTCTCTCGCGCCGAAACACAGCGCCCGAGGCTCAGGAGTCTGGTCTTCCTGCAGGGCTAAGGCAAAAACTGAGCCGCATGGAGTCCGTGGAGCTCGATACCCCTGGACATTTTTGCCCTGACTCACCCGAGTGCAGCCGCTTATCCCTGGAGCGCCGGCGGTACAGCGCCTCTCCGCTGACCCTCCCTCCAGCGGGCTCAGTTTCTTCTCCGCGCCAGTCCCAAGAGAGTCTGCCCGGGGCTGTGTCCCCGCTGAGCGGACGGAGGCGGAGTCCCGGGCTGCTGGAACGCAGGGGTTCCGGGACCCTGCTCCTGGACCACATCTCGCAAACGCGACCTGGTTTCTTGCCTCCTCTCAACGTCAGCCCCCACCCTCCCATCCCCGACATTCGTCCCCAACCCGGAGGTCGGGCACCCTCACTGCCGGCCCCTCCTCATTCTGGGGCACCAGGGTCTCCCAGGACCAAGCGCAAGTTGGTGAGACGCCACTCCATGCAGACTGAGCAGATTCGCCTGCTAGGGGGTTTCCAGAGTCTAGGCGGGCCAGGGGAACCGGGGCGCTGAGAGAAGTGAGAGCCACCAAGGAGGGGGAGGGTAAGGCCCCATGGCGGGAGAACCAGCTGATACCTCGGACACGGGATCTCTTGCATGTGCTCACGGCACTGTGCACGCACACATGGGTAAGCATGTGTCCACAAGCACAGTACACTCACTAGCGAGAAAGGATAAATACTGTGTTTACTGGGCGTATAGAACCACGCATTAGTGTCCTGGTCTTTTCACACGCACACGGGATTACTTGGGTGCCCAGAGGCACAGCACACCAACAGAGGACCACATGTGCTAGGGTCCCAGACTCATTGGCATTTGTTCAGAAGCAGCAGGGAGCCCCCACTTAAGGATGGTCTCCTGTATCTTTGCTCTCCTGGAAAAGCGATCCCTTGCTTTCTATGTATGCCCTGAAACGTGGCCTATCATACTTTCGCATACTCTGCTTTCTCTTCATGAATCTCTCTCCCCATTCTGCAGGTCTTGCTTCTCCATGCCTGGCTCCTTGCTCACACCCGGCTTCCATCCGCTTTTCAGGATGTCTTCACTTTTCTTAGGGTTCCCGCAACAGCGCCCAGTCTCGGTTCTGTTGCTGCCTTCCATGCTCTCAACTTGCTTTTTATTCCCACCCTGCACCCCACCCCCCAAAACACACACCACTACAGATTGTCTTGTTTACTCCAGGGGGTGGGTCATGGGCTCGAAGCTGATCTTCTGTGTGTCTGAGCTTATGAACACCCCTACAGGTAGAAGTGGGGAGTAAGTCTAAGCCAGCCCCCCTTGCCACTTGACATGTCAAATAAATGTGTTCTGAAGTCTCTGTTCTGTCACTACCGCCTGAAGGGATGGGGGGGGGCATGGGGAAGATGCTAACCAACGGCCACAACTACCCGGGATGGTGTCTGGAGGTTACAGCTATCTGCTTTCCAGGAGCCCAACTGACCAATTGTGGTTGTAGAAGAAAAGGCAAGTAAAGGTTTTAAGGCATGTGACAGGCCTTCCCTCTAGCCTCCCCATGCCTGGCTTTTAATGATTTAATCTTACAGAGACCCCCCCCTGCTGTAAGCAGATATGACTTCCTACTTGTTGACTTTTTTATTTTGCTTTTGTTTTTTTTTGTTTTTTTTTTTATAAACACAGGGTTTGATTTCATTCCACCCAGTGTGCCTCGTCCGTTTTCACCTCCATGTTTAATCTCTGAGCCACCCTAGGAGAGAGGGTGGGGCTAGTAACTTCACCCAAGGGGAAAAAAAGGAATGATAGTCAATCAGCAAAAGTGTGTTATAAGCCGGGCGGTGGTGGCGCACGCCTTTAATCCCAGCACTCGGGAGGCAGAGGCAGGCAGATCTCTGGGAGTTCGAGGCCAGCCTGGTCTACAAGAGCTAGTTCTGGGACAGGTACCAAAGCTACAGAGAAACCCTGTCTCGAAAAACAAAAACAAAACAAAACCAAAAAAAAGTGTGTTATAGTGTGAGCGCATGGGTGTCTGTGGGGACAAAAGTTGGAACCCAGCCTGAGTTCTATGAACAAAGTTCCCCCCTCTGATCTATGTCCTGACTTTCTCAGTTTGATGGGTTTCTGCATGTATTATAGCTCTTTCTTTCGGTACAGTGATGAACACACTCTACTTTCACTCCCTTCGTGAGTAGCTGAAGTCAGAAAACCATCCCTAAAAGTTGCATAGTGAAAAGATGAAAACACTTGGGTCAGTACACTTAGGTCTGAACCACCCTAACCATCTAGCTATTTGATTTGGGGCAGAATATCTAACCTTCCTGAGCATCACTTTCCTTGTTCATAAAATATTAAAGCCTGGTTTATGCTTGCAGTTATTAAATAAGACAGTGCACTGAAGTGTACCACATAGCATGCTCTCCTAAAAGTCAGCGGCATACTCCATTTTAGCTTCACCACCAATAGTATATGACCTTAGAGTCGCATCCCTTTTTTGAACCGCATCTTCATCTAGAAAGTGGTGTGACCTGACAAATGAGCTCTGAGAACCCTTTCCAGTTACAAGTCTGTCTACTCAGTCTTGCATCCAGGCCTATTTTTCCTTCAAGCCCCGCCCCAGGGGTCTGGCCGGATTTCTAGCGTTTACCACAGGATTCCCAAAGATGCTCCGAAGCTCTCCCTCTTACACTGTATCGCCTTTTCTCTTTGCAATTGGCTCCCGCAGCCTCCGCCTTCCTCAATCATTTGCCTAAGGTGGCGCAGGGGCCCTCCCCTTCCCTCCCTCTCCACCAGTGATTGGCATAGCATCTGGCTCGTCCCCGCCTGCTCTTGACTGACAGCTGGACCCCGGCACCGCCCTCAGTCCCTCGGCTCTTGCTCACTGGGATAGCTGGGACCGTTAGCTCGCCAGGCTGGCAAGCTGCGGGGTCCAGCTCTGCGGTCGGCCGGGATGGAGACGATGCGAGCACAGCGGCTGCAGCCCGGCGTAGGTGTCGGCGGGAGAGGCACTCTGCGAGCGCTGCGGCCGGGGGTGACCGGGGCCCCGACTAGCTCCGCCACACCCCCCGCGGGCCCGCCGCCCGCCCCGCCGCCCCCCGCCCCGCCCCCGCCGCCGTTGCTCCTGGCTGGGGCCCCCGGGCTGCCCCTGCCCCCCGGCGCTTCGGGGAGCCCTGCCGTGCTGCGCGAGGCCGTGGAGGCGGTGGTGAGGAGCTTCGCCAAGCACACGCAGGGCTATGGCCGAGGTGAGTATGGGGGGCTGGCCTCCTGCGGGACACACTCTAGGCAGGAGGCTGGCTCCACTGTCCTCCCGGTGGCTCCGCTTGGCGTCCAGCCCTTGCATGCATGCATTTCCTTTTGGGGAGTTTCCTTCTGGACACAGACACACAGACGAGACACACACACAGAGAGAGAGAGAGAGAGAGAGAGAGAGAGAGAGAGAGAGAGAGAGAGAGAGAGAGAGAGAGAGAGAGAGAGAATCGGACTCCTTTCTTTTTTCAGACGTTACCCTCTTTTCTTTTCAACTTTTTCCTGTCAGCAGCAGAACTCCTGCAGGGTTAAGGTTTTAACGGCCTTCTCTGGTTGAGAACCGGCCCCTATTGTGTGGAATCCCGTCCTTTATCTCAGACCCCCGGCACTTCTCATCCTACCCAGTCCTTCATTCCTCTCCGATTTAGGCAATTCCTGTACTCCGGCTCCTTAACCCTGACTTTGTAATTCTTCACGTACAAATCTTCCCTACCCCACCCAGGAGATTTCCATCGCGACTTCAGATCTGCTGGAGAATGGGGTAGTGCTTTCAAAAGTCACTCACATGAATCTCTTCTTTGAATCTGGACCCACACCATTGAGGCCGTGCCAGCTTCCTGTGACTCGGTGCCTCTCTTTAGTATCTTTCAGTTTGGAGCCTCACAACTCGGGCCTCTGTCTGTCTGGCTCTGTGTTCCTGGCCCCTGCCCAGGAATTGAGGATAAATCTCAGGCCTTGGCTCTCTCAGTGCTAAATTCTGTGGAAGCGAGCCAGGCAGCAACCCTGTTTTGCTAAGAAACCTCCAGCTTAAAGATGCCTAATTTCTGGGAAGAGGGATGTGAGGATTTTCTTTGTTGTTTTTGTTTAAGCACTGTTAACCAATTTCCTGTCAGAATTCTGGTCCCAAATTCAGAGTTGAAGGGACAAGGAACACCCAGCGAAGGGTGTGTGACTCAGACTTTAAGTCTGGAATTTCAAACACATTACTTCTGTTTGCTTGATCAGGACCTCCTTGGACTGAAAGCAACGGGATCCTTTCTATTTTAATAGGAGAAAAGTTGCACGGCCTTCTTCTTTTCCTCCTCCTCCTCTAGCTCTGGCTGCTGTCCCTCCCTCCCTCCCTCCCTCCCTCCCTCCCTCCCTCCACCCTTCCTTCTTGAGGAAGCTGTAGTGGAAACAGCAGGAACAGGCTTGGAGACCTGTCACTTGCAGCGCTGTCTCTGGGGGAAGGGACTCATAACCTCACCGACCAACAGTTTCTTCAAGGGTTGTGCTACGGATTAATTGCGATTCTGCACCTGACAACACAATGGGCCCTTAATATGATTGTTGGCTCAGATTTTCTACTAAGCTCTTCCTTAAGAACAAGTGTCATTTTCTCCTACTCTTAAATATTTGTATCTTTGTAAAAAGCAAAGATTTCAATGGAAATAGATGTTCAGATGGACTTAGCGTCATGCCTGATGGGTCCCTTACTCCTCATTCCCTGCACTCTTGAGCCACTTTGAACTTCAGCTGTGGCCAGGACTCTGTAAGGCGCTGGGGATACAAGAGGACATATTTCTGAAACTCGTGAGCCACCATAGTTACTTCCCAGACAGCTTCCTGGGTTTAACGAGGATAAGAGGATACGGATAGAATGCCTTCAGCCATATCCTGCTGCTTCTGGTCTTTTACGTCAGTTCAGTTCCGAAGGAAACATCCTGCCTCGGGGTGTAGCTGTAGCCAGTCGTTACCCTAATTCTGAAGAGCTCCTCTTGGAAATGTGAAGGCATTTGGTGAACATTATAGAGAAATGCCCCCTCTTTTCTCGCCTGTGCTTCTCTGCCCTGAAGAGTCTCCGGTTTGGCGTCTAAACTGGGTGCCTGGAAAACCATTTTAGTTTCCTTAGAAAGGATGAGGGAACAAAGGGCTTGCACTGACAAAGAGAAGTCAGACGGATTCAGATTCTGCGGTGAGCCTCTCCTTCAGTCTCCCCACCTCCCACCACGGTCTTCTTATTATTGAGTTTCTCCTTTCCAGTCTGGGTGTCCGGCTAGTGCTGTAGGAGATTTTGGCTCTCTGCTGATTTGGCTCCAAGTCCTTCACCACATGGAACCACTTATTCTGCTTCAATTAATAGGCAAAGCTTCCATTGGCATGGACCCATATACCCTTGTGACTGATGGCATGATAGTCAGGGGATGGTTCTGTTGCCCTGAATATGATTTACTTTGGTCGCTGTCCAGATCGCTCTTTCATCTGGCAAAACCTCCCACGTCATCTTCGCTTCACATCCTTCATCTTCTTCCCGACGGCTCCAGGCTCCTCACCATCTCCTCTGCTGTCTTCTTAGATTTTCCTCCCCCAGTGTTGGATCTCAGCGTCTAGGCACACACATGTGTGCGTGCATGCGCGCACACACACATAAATACACAAACACTTCCCTCTTCTGTTATTTCCACCATCTTTCCCACTCCCCATTCCCCTACCCGTACCTGCTCAAAAGTCACACACACTATTGTGCTGGCTACTTTGTTTTGGTTTGATTTGGTTTTTGAGACAAGGTCTTGGTATATAGCCCAGGTTGTCATGGAACTCACTGTGTAGTTCAGGCTTTCAAGATCATGGTGAGTCCCCTGCCTCAGCTTCCATTCCCTGAGACTACAAGCATGTGCCATCATGCCTGGCTTGCTGTTGGATCTCACAGTGTATAGAATTTGAATTGGGGACATGACCCTGTCATACAGTGGCTGCGTGATCTTGGCAATATTGCTTACTCTTTATATGCCTTATCTGTTCCATTTATTCATCTAACAAACAATGACTGCTTGCCAGACGTAGTGGTGAACACGGCACATATTCAGTCTATCTTGATAGAGCTCAGTCCGCTTTTGAAAATGGGAGGATTAATGCCACAATAAAGCAGATAGTACAATAGAAAGAGGGCTTGTCTGGGAGCCAAATGAATTATTATTTCTTAATCCTGCTTCTGTAACTTCCAATCTGTTCCTTAAGTTGTATATTTTCTTAAAAAAAACTGGATATTATAGTACTCGTCTTGATTTAAAGGGTTTTTTTTAAATGTATGTAGATGTCTTACCTGCATGCATGTCTGTGTTTTATGTTCATGCCTGGTTGCCCACAGAGACCAGAAGGGCGTGTTGAGTCCCCAGGGATTGGACTTACAGATGGTTTTGAGCCACATTGTGGGTGCTGGGAACTGAACCCGGGTCCTCTGACAGAGTAATGCTTTAAACCAGTGAGCCATCTCTCCAGCCCAATAATAAACACATTTTGTGTGATATTTTCTCCTTAGCTACCCTTTGCCGTCAGAATCACAGACAGATTCTTTTTCTAAAAATGTCACTGGTGCTAAACTGGTATGCGCATTTACAATTTTTGGAAATATTGAATCAGCACCCCTGTTAATTTCTTCTGGCTATAATAACAAAGCAACACAAATTCTGCTGCTTAAAACAGCAGTAATGAAATAAACAACAGACATGAAGTGCGTGTGGTGGTGCACGTCTATAATCTTACTGGGAGATGGAGGCAGAAAGAAAAATGGGAATTAATGGCCATCCCTGGCTGTATGGGGAGTTGGAGGCCAACCTGAGCTATGTGAGCCCTTGTTTCAAAAAACTAAAACAAAAGAGTGTGTTCTTCTGCAGGCCAGATGTCAGCATCAGTATCACTGGGTCAAATGGATGTTAGCAAGATGCTGCCAGAAAGTCTAGTGTCCCTTGCCTTCTCCAGCTTCTGGTGGCAGTGACATTCCTGAGCCCTGATCATGACCACATGGCTTTGCATACCTCTGTGCCTTCTCCTCTTCTGTGCTTTGTCAGTCCTGAGCACCCCTAACAGTTTTGTTGCTGTTTCTTTTTGTTTTTTTGAGACTGGATCTTACCTGTGTAGCTCTAGCCAGCCTGAAAGTCATAATGCAGATCAGGCTAGCCTTGAACTCATAGTGATCCACTTGCCTCTGCCTCCCCGCACCACCTGTATAATCTAGGATGATTTCCATGAGTCAGATTCCTTAAACACTCCGGCAAAGCCTTTCTCATGTGAGGTGATATCCGCAGGTTCCAGGGATTAAACACATCTTGGTGAGATGCACTATTTGGCTTTACTATGTCTCTGTCATACTATGTATGTCCTTACTAAAGTCACTGCTACCTCACAATGCTGTCTTTACAGAACTTCTGTGCACTATAGGTTAGGTATGGTCTTCTAAAAAGAAAAGGGAATCATAGATAAAATATTGTTAAGCAGCTTTCCTATTTTCCATGATATTTTCGATGAACCTCTGCAACTTATTCTTTTTTTTTAAATATTTATTTATTTATTTATTATGTATACAATATTCTTTCTGTGTGTATGCCTGAAGGCCAGAAGAGGGCACCAGACCTCATTACAGATGGTTGTGAGCCACCATGTGGTTGCTGGGAATTGAACTCAGGACCTTTGGAAGAGCAGGCAGTGCTCTTAACCTCTGAGCCATCTCTCCAGCCCTCTGCAACTTATTCTTACAAACCTGTATGAACAGGGAAAACTTCTGACCGTGCAATGCCATTCCTTATTCATCATCTTTTAACTCCTTCATCCTTACCACAACATTGTCTTTATTCTTTTTTTTTTTTTTTTTT